GTCTTTGTGTGCTGTTTTTTATTGAAATATATTTCTTCCTTTGGTATGGGTTCAGTAAAACTGGAAATTTTTAGAATTCCAATGATATTAGAGAAAAAGAAGAATAATACAACTTACCCTTGTTGTGATGGACTAAGGGAAAATTGTTTCATGCTGGCTGAACTGCACTTCTACATATGCGGTCCGGAAAGTGTATAGCATCCATCTTAAAGATTGATGCAAGTAGATGTTCCATCTAAAAACAATGGTAACTAACGGTCCAAATGTTTTCTTACTAGAATTATTATTTTTAATTTTTGAAATTTATTTATTTATTTATATTCATGATCTCCATGTTAGAAATTACATGTCCTTAAAAATTAAGTCTTAAAAATCCATCTCAAACATAGATATATTAAGAGGCCCGCATATTTATATATGCCGGCTTGGCCGCATGGAAACCGGGTCCTTGTCTTAATCGTTTGGGAATAAAGAGTATTTATAAATGATCATGGACATCTCTTTATTTTTATGTTTTCACCCAAAAATTTGAACATTGGATCTTTGTAATGACTATTTACCTATATGTTGATTGGCTATATTCAATTATATACATTTCAAATTTCTTTTTGCGCTAGTGAAATACACATGGCCTTGGAATTGAGAGAAAGATTGAGCAATACCAGAGGCAATACCGAACCATCAATATTGGTTTCGGCTGCTACTATCGACCGGCGCAACATTGGTCCATATTCAATAGTAGAACCGTTCTCAGAGCGGCAATCAAGAGGTTGGAACAAGCCCAGACCGGAGAATAAGCTTGTCTATTCATTGTATAAGAAAGGCTATCACCCGCACGCACAGTCCATATTCATCTCGATCTGCAACTATAGAAGGATCTTGAATTGGCTGTCCCTCCACCTTCAATTGGGTAGTGCCTTTCCCACTGGGTCTTGATATGCATATGAATCTTCAATCGAACAAAGGGATGCCGGTGGCAGGGTTTTAAAATGCGGGATGCGGCCAAAAGCGGTGGAGGGGCCAATGCGGCTCGATGCGGCCTGGATGCGGATGCATCGTGACGATGCGGTCAATAAATGTAACAAAAATTTAAAAAATCTAAAAAAATAGGTTAATGCATAGAAAAAATGTGGAGGTGATATATGTGATAGTAGGTATTTTAGTTTAATGATTAACTTCAAAATTATTAGCTGTCGGAGATTCTGTATCCAGTTATCCACTATCCCTTGATAGAAACTGGAAATTTAAAACTAGCTTCATAAAACATACAACAATCAACAACCAAAAGCACAAATTTGCACCATAAGCACAAAAGCACAACCATCAACAACCATAAGCACAAAATAGTGATATTACAAACCAAAAGTCAAGCTCAAGAAGAGTTAATAGTTAATAACTTAATACAATCATCTATTTTGAGAGTCAAATTTGAAATTTGAAGTCAATTTTTTAACAAATCCACAAAAGTGGCTGGAAATCCTCGTTTACGGGGTTTAATACCCCCCAAACAGTTTCCCCCATTTTTAGATGGTCAAAAAGACCATTTTACCCCTCCCCGAGGGGCAAAATCAAAAAAACAATTGGCGAAAGGGGATGCGGTGTGATGCGGGATGCAGCTACAATGCGGCACATATGCGGCCGCATAGGTCAAAAGCACATATGCGGTCAGTTCTAATGCGAAGCCCACCGCATGCCGCATGATGCGACTGCATTTTAAAACCATGGCCGGTGGGTAGCGTAGCTAGGACGGTTCCATCTCCCTTAGGAACTGTAGTAAGGGGGGTCATTCCTGTATTAGCTCGCCTGTTTACAAGGCTGCCCTAGAAGATGATATAGTTAATAGTATATATTCCTTAGCTTAGAAAGGTACCTCTTTCAGTCCCGTTCCGGCTTGAGAGGAACTTTGGTGGTGCCTCTGAGCCTGCCGCAAGCCAAGGAAGGGCATTCAAAAGTCCCTGGGTCAGGTCTAGTTGTTATCAGTAGGTGTTGTTTTAGGCCTTTGATCAGCGGGTGTTGTTTTGATCGGTTAATCATGGAATAAGGTATAAACTTTTGTTTTTGGGAGTGAGTCTTCGGGAGTGTTGGCTAATTAATACTAATGTCAGGTCTTCATCAGATATTGGAGGATTTTCCTTAAATATTAAATAGCTTGATCCATAAAACCACAAGCTCTACTGCTCTAGTTGATGGCCTTTACTGTTTTTCATTTGCAGAATGGAAACTCTTAAGAGGCACTTGCCAGCAGGTGGCTGCGATGGACTGTCTGAACTCAGGAAAATTGCTGCAAGATTTGAAGAGAAGATCTTTACTAGTGCTGAGAACCAGGTTCTCCTTTCTCTCCTTGTCAATCTGTAATTTATATTTTCAGTTGTGGATACCTAGTGATTGTTTTCTTGGTTTCCCTTCTTTATCTTCTTCTTTTTCATTTCGTCTCAAGAAATTTCATCTCATTTTACAGTTTCATGTTCCTATTAAATTTGCCAGCTTGGAAGTCTATTTGGAATGAAATATGATAATATGACAATGTCAATGTAGAATTGGGTTCACACTGAATTGTATCATACAATCGGGTATGTAAGATAGAAGTGTATATGTCAGTATTGTGGGAGACAAACACTACTTATTTGCTCTAGTTAGCAGATAATCATTTGAAGTCCTACAAAGTTTTAGTGGGTAAATCACTTTAAATAACATTGTGTCTTGAAGGTTTTTAAATTTGGCTTCTAAACTGTCGTACATATTTTTTTTGATAAATATTTTGTATATTTAGATATTTCTATTACAAATAACATCCTTTTATTTGAGTGTTGTGCATACGAACATGCATGCACCAATAATCATGCATGTATACCAACGTATTTACATGTGCATGCTACATGCATCCTGTATTTGTCATGTGTACACATAATGCCACATAGATGGTTCTGTTGCCATTCTTGGTTGATTCCATTCATTTTCTTTATTTTTCCTTTCTCAGTTGTTCAAATCGGCATGATATTTCTTGAGTGTTAATTTTTAAGCAAGAAATTTGTGTATTATGCTGTAGTTATTCATGACAAACTAATTAGATATTTTTGCTTATGATTCTATACTTAATCCTGTATATCGTGATTAGTTGGATGCTTTATACTCATAAATGTTAGTCCCTTACGTGAATCTCAATATTCACATTTCTCACCTCTGAATTATTGATTTCCAGGCAGATTATTTGAGGAAAATATCTCTAAAGATGCTTATTATGGAGACAAAATCTGCCATAGAGAATTCTATGGCATCAAACCCTACTGGAGAAAACCAGAATATGCAAGATCAAGGTGAACATTTGTGAAGCATAGGAAATTGTTTGCTTATATGCAAAAAATAGTGTTGCTATATATATATATATATATGTATAGGAAAATGCTAAGATTAGCCCAGTAGCTCATATGAACATATGTGTTCATATGAGCCCAATCTGGGCCGATCTGACGATCACAATCTGATTTCGTATTTGAATTTTATTTTTTTTCTACGAATCCAAGTAATTTGAAATTTTAGTTGTGTATTCTTCAAAAATAGGTGAATCTAATAAAAATATCAAAAAAAGTACTTTGCACGAAATAAATTGACCAAAATACCCTTGAAACGTTTTGAGGGTATTTTGGTCAAATTAATTATGGCAAATTATGTTCAGAATATTTTTATTAGGTGCGCCTTGATGAGAAGAATACACGCCTTAATTTTCATGTTATTTGGATTTTTAGAAAAAAAATTAAAATTAAAATACGAAATGAGGTTGTAACCGTCAGATCGGCCCAGATTCAAACTGGGCCGTTGGGCTCATATGTTCGTATGAGCTAGTGGGCTAATCTCATAATTTTTCATATATATATATATATATGGGTAGAAATGAACGGTATTTTGTCCCATAGACTCGGCGCTATCCAATTTTTTTCGAACGGCATGGATTAAAAACATTCACGGACTTAGCATGTCCGTGGCGAGATTTTTTTACGTCAATTTGAAGCAAAAAATATGGGGGGAAATGCCATAGCTCTCGTAGGTCCGTGGCGGTTTTTAGGCAAAACTGTCTGTGACGG